TTGGGTAGTTTGGATGTAAATCTTGGGCGATGAGATTGTGGTTTGTTTATTCAAAATAATTTGATAGAGAAAAAAATTCCGCTTTTAACCACAGGGAGGTCCCGTCATTTGTGGTTGATATGGAGTGGCATCATGTTTGTCTGACCTGGTCTTCATTTGGTGGATTCCTCAAAGTTTTTGTCGACGGACTGAAACTCGTCAGCACGGCTGAGTCTAGCATCGACTTTCTCCATATCAGAGGTACTATTGAGCAGCAAACATAAGTTTCTTTAAAAGTGTCCAACCTCGATATCACTTAAATGGGCTTAAATAAACGAGGGAAAAACTCTTGCTTCTAACCCTGAAAGGTGAACTTTAATTAATATCTATATATGCTTTCCAACATTTCACGGATTACCAAATCTTATGGTAATTAATGCATATGTACTGGAAGGATACTGACTCATAACTAATCAATGATTCTTTGAATGTCATAGTTGCATTTCGATGAATAACTATCAAACACATCATGATTTGCTTAAACACAGTTTTATTTCCACTGCTGATGATAAAAGTTAAGTGATTCATTTATCATCAGGAAGAGGTCGCTCTAATTGACTACTCAAAATATAACATCCTTTGCTATCCACTTCCAAGTAGTTTCCAGACAAAATATTGTAAAATTCATCTCTTTGCGCTATATTATCCCCCACTTTAAGTATACATAAAAAACTATCCACCTCAGCGTCAATGGCTTAGAAAGGAACTGGTAAGTTAAGGAAAATTGCAACTATTCTCATCATGACCTGATTAACTATAATAAAACAGTTGCTTTCCTTAGGTTTAGGGAAAATGGCTAACTAAGAACTGAATGTATCGATAACTAATTCATATTATGTTTTTTGTTGTAAATGAAATTTTTAAGAACACTCCCAAGCATCTCGAACCCTACAAACAATGTATTCCAATATATTGAGGGGAGTACGCTTATTGATTCATCTCCTTTACTAGGCGTAGGTCGCCTTATTGTCCGTTGCCCTGATGTGAAAAATGCAACAAAAGAAGACGCTCTTGGTAGTATAAGTGATCTTAACCTATGGGATGGTGTACTCGATGAGGAAGAAATTCAACGGATGTCTTTAGGGTGTGAAAGGAGGGACGGTGATCTCAAGGCTTGGAGGAGCATGCGTAGTGGAGTGATAGGAGACGCCCACGTTCATTACGATACTTCCTCATGTCGAGACGTGACTGGTAAGTGGATGCACAGACCCATATAGTACTTTATAGGAAATTAAAACAAACAGTAGCGTCTTCAGAGAGAGAGTTTTCTCTTGTCACCACTAAGGCCATTTTGTCACCAAAACAAAATAAAGGCGGTTACGTTTATGTACTAAGTCCGTCCTGAGAGATTTGAACTATTTTACATCTTTTTAACCAATCAATTTACGTAGCTGCTCACCACGGTATCGAAAATGTACTGTTGTTTTAAGGTGATGGAATTTTCTCGCTCATTGACCCTGTTATTTATACTTTTTATGTTTTGGTTTCGGTTGGGCCCCCTTTCCCTGTTGGTTTTTCCATGTATTGCTGCTTTGACCCCTCATTATAATTAGATTCTCCGACAATTAGATTTTCCTCTCACTTCTACTACAATTTATTATTTTTTGGTCTATATTTTAAATTATAATATTTTCCTGGGGTAGACAGCCCGCATGGGTCTGTGTGTCCCTTTCGGGGCTTTAACTCTTTATGTTTGTATATTTTAATTTTTTGATCTTGCCCAATAGAGCTTGACATACATACATACATACATACATACATGCATGCATACATACATACATACATACATACATACATACATACATACATACATACATACATACATACATGAGGGTCTGGATGGGGAGGGGGGGTTACAAATGTCAGTTGTCAATGAAAATTTCGGCCATTCATCAGTTGACAGTTAGATTTTAGGCCATTTGTCATTTGTCAGTTAAATGACTGTTCATAAATAACTTGGCGAGTTAAATCTTACTTTCCGACCCTATTTTTGACTAAAAAAGCACACAGCATAAACTCAAAAATTAAGTGGAAAATTGTTACAAAAAGAACTATTTTGTTCTCAATTCTGAAATAAAATAATTCCAAGATCTTTTAAGTGACTTTCAATCTTTCTTTAAGGGGTGTTTAAGTAAGTTACAACTCTTCTGCACAAAAACTTTTGATTGCCCGTGCGCAACATTGAAACACTCCTTTTCCACCAATTAGCCGGTCGAAATGTTGGAAAGAAGACTGTCAGAAAGAGAGCAAACTTGTGAAGAGTCCTCTAGCACAATGTATTGGTTTTATGTTTTTTTTTACAATGTGTCGATTGCTCCGACGAAATGATCGGAAAGGAGTGTTCTTCTGTCTTCTTTTCAGTTAGGTTATTAGAGATATCTACTGTTTGCGTACCTTCGAAGTCCAAGCAAAAATGGGCGTGAATGGGGCGCCCGGATGTAGAAACCGTAATTGGGGTAGTATCTTCATCCTCTCGGTCAGAAAATTCGTTTTCTACGTCCGTGTCATATTCTTCTGCTTAAGCTCGTACCTCAGCAATTGTCACTTCAACGATAAAGTCGTCAAAAAATGTGGCATCTCTCACATTCCCACCTCCCGAAGTAGCTTGAACGGTTCCACTGTCGCTGCTGAGCCCTACTGGCAGATTTCCAGAGTTAAAATCGTTCCCTAGTCCTTCCAAAATGTCCACTTTGGTGGAATCTTGCTTCGTGAAGACGGCCGGTGGAAAAACCCCTGCCTTGACCTTGGCAGTTTCCTCCTGAATTGTCCTGTGTCCAACGGGAGATACTTCCTCACAAATTTTCTCAAAACATTTTCAGTCTCAGAGTTTGATCTCTTCTGTTGGCATTTGCGAACTTCATACTGGTCTGAGGGACATGATAGTTTGATTTTTCATAAATAAAATATTTGGTTGCCCATTTTGTTACTCTCTTCAACGACTCCTTGGTAATTATTCCAAAGTCTTGGGAATACTAAAATGTGGAGAAGGTTTCATGATTAAAATGGGAAATTGCGAATAGATTCTCAACAACTGCTGTGAGTAGTGTACACAATCCAATGTCTTCGAGATAATCGTTATTGATTGAAGCTATGCTGTTGAGCAGGCGGCGCATTCCTTCTTTGAGATGTTTAATTGAGACGAGTTTTATCAGATATATTTCCTTCAGGGTCTTTGGTCACTGTGGTTTCCTTTATACTGTACCGTTGTTTCACCTCTGAAACGGTCTTTGTGATGTCGTCATTCACATACGATACTTTGTCTAGGGAATCTTGAAGAGACGTGTGCTTCCTCCATTCTTTGGCTCTGATACCAAACTGTTATAGAGACTTCCAAGGATTTGATACGAATAAAGCCTTCTCCTTTGAATAGATGCCACGAACTTGCGTAAAAGAACACGTTTCATCCGTTTCATCACTTGCTCCTTTCTGAAAATAACCCATGGAGGTTTTAACGTTTTTCTCAGAAGGACAGAAGAACTTTACCTTTCGATCTCTCGAGTCAGTGTACGCGGTACCAGCAATGCCAACTCCATTGCAATGTAATGTCACTTGTATAATTCCTCTCTGGGCATAACAGAATGTTTCATTAGCAGCATAGATTGAAGTTAGCTTTTCTAAAGGAAGGCGAACCTGGACAAGCTTCGAGTTTCCGAATTCGTTCTTCCCTCCTGATTTCGGAGCCATGTGATAAAGTTTCATTAAACAAAATCTCCACGACCATATTTACTGGACAACCCCATTAGACAAAGGAACGAAATAAGGTGCATTTTCATCGCGAGTACAGTGTTTACATCATTATTAGGAATGCAGCTTCTGTGACGATCAAACACCGTTTCCGAATAAATTCGGTAAAAGCTTACAACAGTCTTTAAAATATCAGCATTGACGACCATCGCATAAATTTACGATCGATTTTAGCATCAAAGATCACTTAACAGACCTATGACCTTCCTGTGGATGGTCCATACGGTAATTATTAGCAAAATACAACATTCTGGCGTACTCCTACTGATATGTAATAATAAACGTACGTTTATTGGACAAAATACATCAACTATCCTTATTTCACATCCAGATTTAAGGGTATTTTGGGCGATCCGGTCTTTTGTCAGTTGTCAGTCAAAACTCGCCACAGATGTCAGTTGTCATTTAGATTTTCTGCGATTTTTTAGTTCTCAGTTAAAATTTTGGCCATTTGTCTGTGTTCAGTCAGCCCCATCTAGACCCTCATACATACATACATACACACATACATACATACATACATACATACATACCTACATACACTCACTTACAAATTACGGCTGTAATGACTGCTTATTCTGAGCAAAGTCTAGGTTTGACCACAATGTTGGGCATCATTTTGATCCGGAGGTCTAGAATAAGCAGTTTTTTTTAAGGAAACAAATATTTTTCCAGAGTTATCTAAAAGGATTTTTTCTCACCATCTAAAAACTGGGCAAGTAAAAGATCACTGAGAAGCGGTTTTACTGAACAAAGGACGGGTAAAGTTCGTTTACAGTCAAACTAAATGATGCGTACCCCTCAAGATTACATTAATGAATTGATCATTTGGATACTGAACCCTCCAGTCGTTTCAAGACTGAAATAATGAATTGATTATTTGATTATTGAACCAGCTAGCCATTTCACGAATGCAATAATGGATTGAATATTTGAATATTGAACCCGATAGCCGTATCCGTTTTGAAAAGGCGCGGATCATTGTTCAAATTAGAGGTCCATTTCTGAAGCCCAATAAGATCGTTCTATTTGACGAGGAATCCTGAAAATGAACAAACTGCATTGTAAAAACACTGCAAAAACAGTCGATCGCAAATATTAACTAAATAAAAAAAGTCTTGCGATGGCTTAGCCCGTAAACTATTTTTATCGACCATAAATACACACAAGAATTTCTACAAGTTCGTCAAGATCCTCCACCGCGCACGCATTAATAAATCTGATGCACAATTGGGCGCAAGCAACAGACGGAACGGGGAACACCGTGCGGATCTTTGCGTTGGGCCATAGAAAAGCCTTCGATCTGATAGATCACAGCCTCTTGCTATCGAAACTCTCGACCTACAACATCAACCCTTACATCATTAATTGGATAATAGCCTTCTTTAAAGATAGGAAACAAAGGGTCAAACTTGCACATGATTGTCTCTCAGAGTGGGGATCGGTCCGAGCAGGAGTACCGCAGGGAACAAAATTGGGACCGTGGCTATTCTTGGTTATGATAAACGATTTGAAAGTACCATCAGCCAGTGATTGTATAAAATATGTAGATGACACGACAGTGTATGAAATCATAAGCAAGGGTGGTCCTAGCAATGCTCAGTCTATGATAAACGAAGTAGCTACCTGGTCAACACTCAACTCGTTTCAACTCCATCCAAAAAAATGTT